CTGGGAAGCACCAGCCAATTGCTTTTCTGCATCCAGATACTAATGGTGAGGATGTGATATCCAGATTGTCACAACCATCTTGAACCCCTGAGGATGAGGCCAACAGGTTACCGTGACCGAACAAAAAGAGAGCAAAAATCTGGGCTCTTACTGGTGTCAAAGAGCCTTTGAAAAAGGCTACTCACGAGGCTGAGGCAGGAGGATCACAAGTTTAAGGCCAGCTTCAGCAATATAGAGAGGTCCCATCTCAAAATAAAAAATAAACGGGCTGGGGATGAAGCTTAGTGATAAAGTGCTGCTGAGTTCAATCCCCAGTAGAGAGAGAGAGAGAGAGAGAGAGAGAGAGATTATGAATGGGGACAGAGCTCCAACCCCCAAACCATTCTCTGGTGATTTCTTTGGCAATATCCAGCAAAATCTTACTGTGTGCTTTTCTTTTGTTGGTACCACCTGAGTCCTCATTTTGTCCCCACCCTTGGCAGAGTCAGAGCTCATAGTAGATGTTTGTGAAATGGAAAGATGGACAGATCTGATTGTCTGTAGGAGAACAGCAAGAGTTGGGGGTGAGGGGCTTGGGGAGGAGGCCCTACTGGCCTCCTGCTGGGCCTCCTGCATGGACAAGAACCATGTGGACACAGCGGTACCTGGAAGCTTTCAGGCCCTCAGGAGAGTGGCCAGGGTAAGTTCCCCTCTGCGGAGGCGCAGGATGAACTGGCAGGTGCAGCTGGGGTGAGCAGGATGGCAGCATCACCAGGCTGCACTCCAGGGCTCACTGGGAGTTTCCCTCCAGGTTGTTCAACTTGCTGGTGGCACTGAGTGAGGTCCCTGGGCTGCAGCAACGTCTTGATCTGACTTTGGGAGTGTGGGCACAGGGTTTGGGTCTGACTTCGTAAGCTGCCCCTGGAGCTCAGGTAAGGTGCATGGTGCCTCGTCTTCCTGGGTGTCCCCCATGTTCCCATTCTCCAAGTTTTTTCACGACCACAATCTCATTTCCATCTCACAACGTTCCTGGAAGATGGAGGTTGTCATTCCCATCTGATAGGGTGTGGGTGGCAGAATCAGGATTTAAACTGAGATTGATAAAATTCCTGGCTTAACTAAAAAACCTGGGAACTTGACTTTTGAATCACTCTGTCTAATCCACTCTGGCGCTGAGCCAGAAGGAAGGAAGGCTCTGGCCCCGGGGTGGGGGTCAGGGAAGACTGGGCTGGGGGGAGGCTCTGCACAGATGGTGAGGGGTGGAGGCCTTTTGCTAGGGAAGAGAATAAGGTTTCTGTCCTTGCACAGTTGGAATGAGAGCCCTGGAGCCAAGCAGCTAGGGCCAGGGCCGGGCCAGCCAACCTTTGGCACGTGAAATGCCACCCCGTGCTCATGGCAGATAATTCTGGGTGATAATTCACCCTGCCAGCAGGCACCAGTTCTGAAAGCCCCCTCTGTTCTGCCTCACTGGGTCCCTGCAGGAATGTCAGAGGTCGCAGGCTGGCCTTGGACGTAGGCAGAGATCAGGCTGGTTGGAAGGGAGGGGCAGCGTCTGGGTACTGCCTGGGGCCAGAGGGAGCCTTTGTGTTCTGCGCCTCAGGAGCACCCCAGCCATGCAGACACCCTGCTGCGGAGAGATAGCTGACCCCCACCCCTGCCAGGGCTTGCTTCCTCTGCTTCTCCAAGGGCAGCCTGGATGCGGCCTGTCATCTGACTCGCCTCCCCTTTTTCAGATTTTTATGACAAGGGCCTCCAGGTCCACCCCACCATGCCGTCTCCAGGCCAGCGCAGGGCATTCTTCAGGGCAGCAGGTTGGGGTCTCCATCTCGGGGTCTCCACCCAGGATGCCTGGCATACTCTCCTGGGGGGATCTTAACACCCACCACATCCCAGTCCTTGTTCCCCACAACTCTGGAGTACTGGTCTGGGTGGCACCTGGGCATCAGCATCTTTTAAAACTCCCCAGGGATTCTGACGTGAGGTGACAGGAGGTGGGGTCAAGAGCCACTGATGAGAAGCCTTGAGAAAGTGGTGCCACAGCTCAGCCACCACCAGCTTGTGACCTTGAACATGGGACATAGCAGTGTGTTCCTTAGTTTTCTCCTTTGTGAAACGTGGGCAACAACAGTTCTCACTGGTTACTGGGAGGGTTCCGGGAGATAGCACGGTAGATTCCGCAGCGTGCTGGGCCAGAGCCCAGCTCTGCTCCCATGGTGCAGTTCCCACGGTTGGTCCCTATTATTTCTCTCTTTCCCACCCTGGCCAAGAGCAGATTGTAGGGCCTTGAAGTCCCAGGGAGAAAATCTCAAGGGCAAAGAGATCCCTTTCAAGGACCACACCATCAGTGGTGACCAGAGGCGGCTCCTTTTGCTCTGACATGGAAACTGGTTGGGGTGGTGGCTCATGGGTCCCCAGGGAGGGATTCCTGTGATTCCACACCCAGGGCCCCAGGGGTCTCTGCTCTTACAGCACCAAGAACACCCTGGGCTGATAGCTGCTTCCCACCTCCCAGAGAGCTTTCAAGGGCCATGAGGAGACATTTCAGCCTGGCACTCCTGCGCCTCCCACGTGGAAGGGAGCAGTCATGGTGGACGGTCCATGGTGCGTGACTTGAAGACCTGCAGGGCAGTGGCAGAGCCTCCCTCTGAGCGGGGAGTGGACTGGTCATGGCTGTAGCAGCAGCCTCTGCTCCCTGGGCACTCCCATGCCAGTTTCATGACATTGCCCTGGCCTCCTGCTGCTCTTCTGCTCTCCTGGACCAAGCTCACAAGTCAGGGATAGGCCTGGGCAGCCTGGGCCCACCCAGCTCTGCGGCCCTGGCTATATCACCAGAGTGGCCTCAAACTCTGAATCAGGATTCAAAGCCACAGGCTGCCTCGCCCAGCCCCACGATGGTCTTATTGTCACAGACAAGGGAAATGCCACAGCTTTCCTTGCTGGGCATGTCACCATTGCAGTCCAGGGTAGGGTCTTAGGCAGGCKTTTCCCCGGAGGTGGGTTTTCATATTCCTCTCTGCTCTCCTGTCTTAGCCGTCTGAAGCTGTAGAGATTTCCAGGTGGAACCTGACTTCTGGGCAGCTTCAACAAATAAATGAAAGAAGCGTGGCTCAGCCAGTGGCCACAACCTCAGTGCCAAGTGTGGCTTGCTCAGGACACCCAAAGAACCTGCCCATGCTGAGGCAGGTCACTCTCATTGCAGACGTTCACGGGGAATCCTAGGCTCTGGCGTAGCGAGGACAAGCTCTGTTCTGACAGAACCCAAGCAAGTTGGCTCATGGGACGGGGCTAACTTCAGACTCATCCTAAGTGACAATCTCCCTGAGGAGTAGGAATCTGAAAGTCACAAAGGAGGCAGCTATGTGTAGGTGCATGTACCAGAAAGCCCTGCTAGCTGGAAACTTGGACCAGAGACCGTGGGGCAGTGGACAGAGGGAAGTGGACAGCACTGGGGGGCGGTGACAGGCCTGAGGGGAAAGGCCAGGTCCACTTACCCTAAGTCCAACCATGTTTGGCTTGCATGGGACCAGGGTCAACCCTGGGTGGGGGAAAAGCAGGGTGAGAGGGGCATGGTCCAGAAGCCCCTGCTCTGAAGCCRTGGTGCTCTTCCTGGTAGGTCTGTCCTGTGGAGAGCCGGACTCCTGTTATTGCTAAGGTCCGCAGCGGCAGGGCCCTCTCCCGGGTGTCGGGGGCTGGGGAGAGAAGCCCCGGCCCAGTGTGTCCATGTGTCTGTGTCTCTGCAGGAGGATGTGCTGGTGTAAGTCTGTGTCGCTCATCAGTGGTTCGAGACAGCTCTGGGTGGTACCTCAGCCACCACGCCAAGGGCCACTGAGTCATAGGGGAGAGGGCCCTTCCCTCCGGGCTCCACCCTCCAGTTACTCGAGGACGATTCATGCCCTCCTGCTCCTGCTTGCTGTCCACTTTAGCCTTTACATCCCTCCACATTTGCAGATCTTTTTTTTTCCCCAGTGTGTGGCCCTTGTCCACATTAAGCAAGCCCTTGACTGCTGAGCCACATGCCCAGCCCCATAATAATCTTCTTCTTCTTTCTTTCTTTTTTTTTTTTTTTTTTGGTACTGGGGATTGACTCCGGGGGCACTTAACCATTGAGCCACATCCCCAGCCCTTTTTATATTTTATTTAGAGATAGGGTCTCTCTGAGTTGCTTAGCACCTTGCTAAGTTGCCGAGGCTGGCTTTTGAACTCATGATCCTCCTGCCTCAGCCTCCTGAGCTGCTGGGTTTACCATAAGCTTCCTTTTTCTTTCTTTCTTTTTTTTTTTTTTTTTTTAACAAAGGGAGGTGACTGGTCCTGGAGGTTAGCAGGCACTGTGCAGACCAGAAGGTAACAGTGCCATTTGATTTCGACAAAGCATCCCTGATTGTGATCATTGTGTATTCATGGTCACTGATACTGACTTTCTTTTTATAATTGTAATGTAAACTTCCTCCCTTAAAAAAAATTGTTGTGTTTCGTTTGGCTGACCACTTATAAAGCTTCCTTTGGAAATAAAATTATTTTAGTAAGCAGAATGGAATCATCTGAAGAGAAACAGTGTCATCCCGCAGATGGGAAAAAGAGATGAGGAAAGTTGTGGGGAGGGTACCCAAGAGACAGAAGTTTGGGAAACGTAGGCTTAAGAGCTTTCCAAGGCTCCTCTCAAATTTCCCGGGAAGTACTTCCTTTTGTTCTTAGCTCTCTCTCAGCTCCACATCCTGACCCAGAAGCTTGTGGAAACAGCAGTTCTCTCTTTGCAGCCCTCACATGAAGCTGGGGACAGTGACTGGGTGGCCGTGTCTGCCCACCTTTAATGATGGCACACCTTACTTCTCCCGGAGAGGGTCTAGTTTTTAGCCAGAGTTGAATTCTGTGTAGCTCATCATTCTTGTTAGATCCTAGGACCCATGGAGCAGCAAGGCCACTTTGTACAGCAAATGAAAAACTTTAAGAAAGTTACTAAATGTGTTATGATAAAGATACAGACCATAGCATTTATTGTTTATTGATTGATTGATTTGGTGCTGGGGCTGGAACCCAGGGCCTCGAACAGGCCAGGCAAGCCCTTTGCCCCTGAGCCATGCCCCAGCCCTAGACCACGGTATTCAGTTAAGACTTTTAAATTAAGCTTTCAGTGATGGATTTTATTTATACATAGGCCACCTTGATGCAAAAAAATATTGTGGCAACTTACAAAAATATATAAAATACAATAGAATAAAAATAAAAAGATCAAGGCAAAGGAGCAAGCGGAAAGCTAGAATGGAGTGAGTCCAGCAGGAGACTCAGTAGAGTTGTTAAAAATGATCTCAAATTTGACATTGAGCTTCCAGTAGCCGCAACCAAGAAGAGAACATACTAGTTACAAGATTCCTAACAACGGTTAATTGGGAGTTTGGTTAATTGGGAGTTTTGGTTTAAAAATAGACCTGGTTCAAATCTTGCCTCTCTACCTGTTAGGAACCCTGAGCTGACGGCCTAACCTCTCTGAACCCGAGGCTCATCACCTGTAAAGGGGGACACGATGCCACCCTGGGGGATCTTGGGCGGATGAGTGACAATACATGTCAAGGTGCCTTCCAGCTCCAGGGGACTGTGGGGTCTTCTGCTGCCCTCTGTCCTCACTAAGCTGCATGTCCTCAGCTGTATGAGGAGTTAATGTCCCTCCCCTGAGTAAAGAATTTGCCCAAGCTTGTAGCATGGAAGAGGTGAGGCTGGGTTCCAGACCTGGACTTCTACTATTTCCCATCTCTGACAGCCGCACARCGCTGTGTCCTTCTGAAACCTCAGCTGTCTCCAGTGGAGCAAAAGGGGCTCTGGAACACTCGGGCTGTCAGGCCCTCTCCTATCGGTCCGGAGAATTGCCTGACTTCCCCTTCTTTGCTGCCCCAAGGAAGAGGCATCTTCCCTCCTCCCCAGAGTSCGAAGATTAAATTCAAGACCTGGGGACCCGGGGGCCTGGGGACCGGGTGGGCCTGGGGGTGTGGCCTAGTGATAGAGAATTTACCTAGCAAGTGCCAGGCCCTCGTTCCACCCCCAGCACGAGGGGAAAAAATAATGATAAGGCCTGGAAATCTCTAGGGAGGAATCCAAGGCAGCAGCCAAAACTCCTTCACGCATCACGTTGTTCGGAAACATGAGACCGCTTCCTTTGGCTTCACAGCCAAGGTCAGTAAGAAACGGTGGCCCTCCCTGGTCCAGGCCCTTCCTTGTTTGAAGTACTTGTTGCCAAATGTAATAAAGCCCAAGATGGATTTTAAAAAATAGCTGACAGGGTCAGGTTTCCTTTAGAGCCTACAAGTTGRCAGATACGGGCTGGTGCCAGTTCCCCACGACACACATCCTTCCCACTTTCAATCACAGACAGGAAAAAATCCATGTAGAATCCATCTTAAAATTGCCTTTTCTCTGCCAATTTAAATTCCACTTTGCTCCAGACACGACTCGCTTGGCATGCAAGGTTCTGTACAAGCTGGCCCCCATCCCCTTCTTGTGGCTCCCCTCCTGGCCACACCAGATAAGAGCAATGACCACCGCTTCTGGAGCTGCCATTAAAGTGGCCACAGGTGGCAAAGAACACGTTCTGAAACCCCAGGTCTGCCACAGGCTAAGCTCCTGTGTGACTTCAGTGTCCTTGCTTATAACATGGTCACATTCAGAGTGTTTATCTTCCACCGTGTCAGGAGGACAGGACCTGTGGGTGGCACTGTTTTATCACCTGACTCTGAACACTGAACCTTCCCTCAGCTGCCCATGTGACAAGTGACTTAACYTCTCTGGACTCCTGCGTGACCATCTGTAAAGGAAAAGAGCTGTCCTTAGCACATAAAGCACATACAAGGGCCTTGAAAACGGAAAGGGCCCRGTGCATATTTGGGGACCGTGACCAGCATCATGTCCCTTGGARAACAAGGCTGCTTGTCCTTTAAGTTTTCAAAACCAGCCCTCTCCAATGCTCCCTTGTCTCAGACTAATGAAGAAATGGGGCCTGTACTCACATGGCTGGGCTATGACATCACAAACACAGCCTTGTAAAACCCACACCCAGGGCCAAGGGAAAGGCCAGGCCCCGCAGCCCCCTGAAGAGGCTAAGTTGGGTGGGGGAGGCTGGATGTGTCCTCCTCTATGAGTCAGACCTGGCCTGGTTGGGTGTCATTGTCCCTCTTGATTCCAGGGGTGAATTTTAGCTTAAGCCAAGCAATATCACCTGACAATGGTGGGAGAAATGTTCTCCGAACAAAATGCACTTCCTCGCCCTCATGGCCAGGTGGCTGAACTCCCTAACAGGGCAACTGGGTGTTCAAATCTACAGAAATGCAGGGAGCTGGCAGGTGGGCTCAGGGAAGGCAGCAGGTCCAGGGGCAGTAGGGATTGGCAGTGGGTACCTTCAAAGGTGCTAGGTGGCTTGGGTGCCACCGATTGCCTTTCCAGGCAGAGCAGCTCTGAGCCAGGAGAAAAAGGATATAGACAAAGCCCTTCTGGAAGGAGACTGGCTGTGTGTGCCTCGAAGCCATCTTCTAAGCCTTTGGGGGCCTATTTTCTTTTTGACAAAAAAAAAAAAAAAAAAAGGAGTTTCTTTAAGTGGCAAGGGAGGAACCCAAGGCAGCTTCCTTTAGAGCTTCTTTTCAGCTCTAAAGCTCCTGTCTGGAGGAATGAGCATCAGGTTTAAAGGTCTTGTCATTTAAAGGTCTGGGCTGCCCGGGTCTGAGACTCTGGGATGCCATCAGAAGCACCAGACCAAGTGGCCCACCTGGGAATCCTCAGCCCCAAATCCTGGGCTCGAGGCAGCCCTGGACCAATATTTTGAAGGCAGGAAAAGCTTGTTGCTCAGACCTGCCTGCCCCAGCAGTGATCAGGCCAAGACTGACCAGGAAAAGGGACCCGTGCCATCCTGGACCAGCCCACCTGGGGCTGAGGGCCTTCTCATGGCAGACCTGGGGGTTTCCCTGAGTGTGTGTAGGTTGTGGCTTTGAAGGGCCAGAGAGAAAGGACCTGAGTCCCCACAGGAAGGGCCAGGAAGGGGACCCAAGGCCTAAGCCAGTGCTTTGGGTGGACAGGGCTCGGCCAGCTGCCTGGGGCCTTCCCAGCTGCTGCAGAAACACAAGCTGCTGCTGAAGAAGGAGGGCGAATCGGAGTGAGGGCAGGAGGGAGGGGCCTCCGGACATCCGCCAGGATTTTCTCTTGGGGCGTGGTTTCTGCTCAGTGGCTAGGTGACGGTGGAGGTTCGGAATGTGGCTGGACAGAGGGTGGGGTGAGGTAGGGGGGCTGGCCAAAGGCAAGAAGCAGAGACATTGGCCCAGGGACCCAAAGCCCAAGGCCACCAATAGCTCAACCAGAACAAGGGCCCGGGATGGAACACCAGTGCATTGGCCCCAAAGGCCTCTCTGGCTTTGCGCAGCCGCCGTGGGAAGGGAGGCTGGGAGGATAGGGGAGATGAGGGGAGAGGGCTGGAGGAGGGGGAGAGCTTGGTGAAATCACCTCTTCTGCAAAATAGGCTACAACAGGAACACAGCCTGCCTGATCCCAACTGGGCTGCTATCTCTCTGGGCCTCATTCTCCTCATCTGTAAAATGGGCTTGATGACCTCAACCTCCAAGGGAGGCGTTGGGAGGATGGAAAGGCTGAGTGCAGGTCAAGCTCCTGGCACGTGCTGTGCACAAAGAAGAGAGTGTCACTGGCTGGGTGCTGAGGAGGTGCTCTCCTGGCTGCTACCACAGGCCCAGCCCCCAGCCCCGGATGCCCCAAGAAATACTTGCTGACCGTGGGTTGCAGGAATTGCTGGGGGGAGTCCCCCTGCCCACTGTGGCCTCTCCTGTGAACACAGGTYCCCGCTCAGACCACAAAGTGGAGGGTGTAGGTGAGTTGGTGGCCATTGTCCCAGGCGTAGAGCACCCGCTCCTTGGGGTTGTAGTCTATCTGGGTGGTGTAGGCGTGCTCGTTGAGGAAGGGCAGCTGCGGCCGAGCGTCGGTGCCCGTGTGGGTGTCGAAAGCGTAGGCCACCTGGCCTTCGTGCTGGTTGTAGGTGTCCACAGCATATAGGACCCCGCACACCAGGAAGCAGTTCCCGTAGGAATTCCGACGCAGCCGCGTCTTCCACGTGGTCTCCCGGTGCACAGAGAGGTCACTGGGATCCAGGCGGCTCAGCACGATCACCTCRTCCTGAGCCTCGTCGAGGTCGTCCATGGCGGGGTAGATCACCCACAGGCCGCTCTCGTCCACGGCAAAGTCGATGTCCGAGTGGCCGCGCCACTTCCAGGGTGTGGTGTCCTCGTACACCACGTCGGGCAGCAGCGCCCAGGAGGCCACGAAGCGCTGGCGCAGGTCGTACTTGATGATGTTCTTGGTGAAGGCGCGGTTGTAGTAGAAGGCGCCCTGGTACACCACGTGGCCAGTGCCGATCCAGTTGTAGGGCAGCTTGTACATGTTACTCCAGCGGCCTGCACAGTGGAGGGCCACGGTCACACCAGAGCCTCCTGGACGACCCCCAGCCCACGGTGACCCCGAGAGATCAGCAAGGGCTGGGAAGTGTGGGCAAAGCACTTAGTACCCAGAGTGTACCATGTGCCTGGGCCTGGACCCAGCATCCTATGCCATCACCACGGGGCCATGAGGAGGTGCTGACGCCGTCCCTGTGCCTACGAGGACACAGGCTCAGAGGGTCCCTAGCCGTGGAAKGGCTCACCCTGCAGAGGGATGCCAGTCCAGGGCCTCTGCACATGCAGATCTTTTTGTCTGTTCCCCCTCCTTCCCCCTCGGGTCTGGTGGGGAATGCTTGCTTATCTTTCAGGATGCTCAACCAACACGACCTTCTCCAGGAAGCCTTCCCTCACCTCCCCAGGCTGCACCTTGCCTCTGGCCTCCTGTGACCCTTCACCTTCGCTCTTATCGCTGGTTTTCTCCACCAGCCTGTGAGCTGCTCCAGGCAGAGACCAGGTCAATTTTGAGCTGGCAGAAGAAAGACCTAGGTATTCTGGTCTATTCTCTGACTCCATGGCTCTCAGGGTGCTCGGGGGCCTCCCCCAGGCCTCGCCAACCCCAAGCCACACGCTTCCTGTCATTGCCAGTGCTGTTTGCCTGGCTCCTTCCTATTCTTCCTCCAGGACTCTGCTCAGCCCATTGCTGCCCCTGGGAGTCTTCCCTGACCTCCAGCCTGGCTTCCCACAGCGCCAGAAGCTCTCTAAGGCTATCCTGAAATTGTCTCTTCAAGCCTTTGCCTCCCTTTGCAGACTGTGACCTCTGGAGGGCAGGCCATGTCTAAGTGGTCCCTTTCCCCCATCCGGCCCCAGATCTGGTAACTGAAATTCTGCCCTTCCCTGTGCTAACAGCCCTTCAGATCCCAGGCCCTGGGCCTGTTCACCTGTGAAATAACTCTCACCCCAGAGACTTAGGAGATGCCATGAGCTGGCACGTGTGGGTAATCAGCCCACGGCAGGCACTCGACCGGAGGACAGTCATTGTCCCCCTCAGTGGTAAGTCATATTCCTGAGGCAGGGCTGCATCTGACTTGTTTGTCCCTGCAGAGTAGCTCCTGGCACAGTGCCAGCACGCCAGGTGCCATGGGGTCTGCTGGGCCCCCAGGGCAGCGCCCCCAGACTCCTTTCCTTGGAGGAGCTGATGATGGGGAGCTAGACCTGGCTGGACCACAGGAAATCCCAAGGTAAAGGAGGGCCAAGTGTCCAGGGGCTGTCCCCAGGCTGCCACACCTTGCCCCCTCCCACCTCCTGGTCCCTGACCTTGCTTGAAGTTCTCCAGGTTGCGGAACTCCACCAGGCTGTTTCCGTAGTAGTAGTTGGTGACATAGATCCTGTCATCCCGAGCCGCAGGGTCCTTCATCCAGGCCCCTTCGTGGCGCCCATAGCTGTGGTGCCTCACGGGGGGGTCCACAGCCCGTAGGGTGCCCTCGCAGCTGGCCTCCCTGCCTTTGGGAAACAAAAGGTACAGGATCTGGTATGTAGGCCCACAGAAGCAGAGAGTGGAATGGTGATGACCAGGGGGCAGGGCATGGGGAAGTGGTGCTCCAAGGATTCAGTTTAGTTAGATGAAGGAATGAGTTTGGTACATTGTGTATTTGGAAATTGCTCAGAGAGTAGATTGTAGGTGTTCTAAACACAAAAACTGGTATGTGAGGTCCGACACATGATGACTAGTCTGATCTACCATTCTGTATGTGTACCTGTACCCAGACATCATGTGGTACGCCATACCTATATACAGTTTTTATTTGTCCATTAAAATTTTTAAAAATTAAGAATCCTTAAAGAAAATAAAGTCCTAAAAAGAATTTCATTATCCAGATAATTATTAACCATGCCGTATTTCCTTCCTTTTCTTTTTTCCTTTGCGTGTAAGCCTTGCGGACGTACCTCACGACCCTGATTCTCCTCAGCACACAGTTTGCGTTCTGTTTTCTCTTTCCACCGAGCAATCTCTCACCTCATCAAGTAGCCTGTTAGTGGTGTGGTTTCTGGGTCTTGTCAGGCCACCAGACAGCTGTGCCCTTTACTTTGTGTGACCTCCCCACAGTGTCAGTGCTCTCGAAGTAGCACCGTGAGGCAGCTGTGGTCCACGAAGCTGGARGATCTTCAAGAGAGAGGCCTGCCAGCGCAAGCCCCAGACCAAGCAGGGACGAGATCGAGGGTTCCCTGAGGATTTCTACTCTGCGACATAAGTCAAAAGTATGTGCGGACATAAAAACAGCCAGAGAGGGCTGGGGGTACGACTCCGTGGCAGAGCACTGGCTGGGCGCTTGAGGTCCTGGGTTCAGTTCCCAGCAGGGCAAAAACAACAGACAGACAGCATTGCCAAACCGAGAAATGAAAATAGATGCTGGATTATCGCCCCCGCCCCCAGTACTAGGGATTGAACCCAGGGCGCTCTACCCCTGAGCTACACCCCCAGCCCTGTTTATGTAGGTATTCGTTTATTTTTGAAGACCCGGCTCATGAAGTTGCCCTGACTGGTCTGGAACTTGGGATGCTCCTGCCTCAGCTCCAAGTCCCTGGTATCACAGGAGTACGATGTCTCACCAGCTCTAATAACTCTTTAAAAATGTAAAAACCTTTCTCAGTTTGAAGGCCCAACAAACAGGCCGTGAGCTGTAGTCCGCTGATCCCCATGAGGTTTACTCACCTTGGCGAGGGGCTTCTGGGCGTGAAGGTGGCTCCGTGGGCAGGGGTCTGGTGGTGGGGGCTGGGCTGGTGCTGGTGGTGGTGGGGGCTGGGCTGGTGCTGGTGGTGGTGGCAGGGTATGAGGTGGGGGTGTCGGGGCCCAGGTTGACTCCCTCTGAGGCCCTTGGTCCAGCCTTGTCCTGCTCCAGCTCTGCAGAGTTGCCCTCGGGGGGTCTGCCCTCCACCTTGGGTGGCAGCTGCTCCAACCAGGAAGTGCCCTTGAGGGCATTGTCTGCAGAGAGAAGACTCCCGCTCACCCCAGGCCCCCCAGGCAGCCACAGAGCCACGGGCCAGGGAAGGAGCGGCCTCCTAAAGGTCCCCCCACATGGGAGGAAGTGAAAGTTTCTGAAGTGGGAGGCAGGAGGTCTTCCTGGCCAGCGGGCAGGCCCCAGGCCCAGCTCCACGGTCCCCACTGTGGGACAGTTTTCATGGGCAAGTCTTCCTGCTTTGGAGGCCTCAGTTTCCCCGAGGCCCACCAGCATAGGCTACTGTGTTGGTTAGAGGAAAAATATATGTAAAATGTTTATATAGGTCCCGGCAAATGTGTGCTTCCAAACACGAGGTTCCTCCCTTTTCTCAGTGTCGAGCACTTTGTACCAATTCTTTCATGTCCTAGACTCAGTTCCAGGGCACAGTCCTTCTAGTCAGGGGCAGCTGCAGGGGACCTGGCCTCGGCAGCCTCCCAGGGCCCATTTCCCACGGGCCTTGCTGGTAGAGTCAGATGCCTGCAGCTGTTCCTGGGCAGTGGCCCAGCCAGGGTCAGGGGTCCTGTGCTGTGGCCAGGCTGACATGGCAGGGATCATGGACAGCAGCTGGCACCAGGGTTTGGGGAAAGAAACCCCTGAGCTCTGAGAGGCCAAAAAACAAGGGGGTGTTGAAGGACACAGGAACCTGACTGTCCCACCTCCCTCCCTGCTTGGACATGGGCCCCACAGAGGGTTTCACTGGACAAAGTGGTCAGCAGGACCCAGAAAGGGGGAGTAGGATTAGGACACCCCTCAGGGGCCTATCATTTTATCCCCAACAACCCTCTGAGAGGGTATTAGGCCCCRTGTGGATGAACAAAGGGGAGCCACAGGTAAGCAAGGGATGGAGCTGGAATCTGGGGCCATCTGGGTGCAGAGAAGACAGGAGGATCCCTGAAGGAGGCCGTCTCTCAGCAAGGACCCACTCCCCAAAGTTCCTCCTCCCTTCCAACTCACCAGCTATGGCCTCAGTCCCCTCCTGCCTGCCTGCCTTGTAGTAGGTGAAACCCCGGATCACGGCCTGCTGCTGGGCCAGAGCTCGGGGCTTGGCTGTGGGCTGGRGGAGTCTGCCCTTGCTGCTCTCCTTCCTCAGCTTCTCCACCTTCAGCAGCTTCTCCTTAGGCACTTTTGGGAGGCCCCTGTCTGCAAAGCTCTTCTGCATGCCGCCATATTTGTTGGTATCCTTGCCTTTCCCTCCAGCTGTGTCCTGGGCGAGAAGGGAAGTCTCAGGCTTGGGGAACAGTAGAGAGAATGTTGTGGGGGTCACGAGAGCACAGCATGTGGGGGCTGGGGATGGTCATGTTGTTTCAAACCCTACATCCCAGGTGTTCCTAAGGCATGGCGTTCCTTCCCTCCTACAACGGCAACACCCAGGCCTGGTTTGCCTCCGTTTCTCCTTGAAGCTCTCTAGTTCCCTTGCAGACTTGAGATCCAACCTGAGAGGTTAGATTCCTGTCCCATTCTTCCCGATTTCTGTCCTCTCTTCGCCTGGGGGTAGATAAGACTGGCCCCTCAGAGGCAGCCTCACCTGCCTGCTTCCCAGGTTGGCCTCTCTTACTGGTCTTAGTGTGTGGGCAGGCGAGAGGTTCTTGGGTCCCTCTGCAGGGTGACCAACTACTCCTAATGTGTCCAGAACTCCCAGTTTTAGCAATGAAGGCCCTGCATCCTGTGAAACCCCTCAGTCCCAGGCAAACTGGTGCAGTTGTTTCCACTACCCCAGGATGTGCCACTTCTAATGTCTGTGATTTTGTTATTTTCACTTCCTATTCAAATGCCTCTGATGCTGGCTTGGCACAGGAACACAGGACCTGTGACATCACCCATTGTTAGGCAGAAGCTCCGGCAGATATGGCGAGCACAGCATCGGGTTGCCTCTGTGCGGTTGCCAAAACAGCACTCATTTGCGCCTGCGGAGCTGGCACTGGAAAGAGCAGGAAGCCAGCACTGGGCCAAGGCACAGGCTTCCTCTGTGCCTTCTCAGTACTCAGGCGGTCCGGCTGCAGTTACAAATGGCCCCACTATCACAATGTCAGCACAGGAGGCTGAGAGGTGGGGAGGAAGGGCTGGGGCTTGGCAGTCACGCAGCCACCCGCTCTCTGCGTGACCACTCTCCCTGCATTCTCGTCTGTCAAACAGCCAGGGCCAACCCTCCTCCAAGGTGGCTCTGGAATTAATGGATAACATCCATGAGAAAGTCAGGTTCAGAGCAGAAATTCCAGCAATGTCAGGTGGCTTCTGCTGCTCACCAAAAACCAAGGTCACTGGGCTGTGTCCTGCCCCCAGGCAGGCGGGCAACTGACTGAGGGGCCCGGACATGTGTCCATCATAGGAAGGATATTGCTCAATTTATCCACCCAAAGGCGCCTCTCTTTGTAATTGACCTCTCCAGTGCAAGGACTTTATTTTGCAGTATGCCTGCAGGGGGGACCTTCCTCAAATCTGCACTAAGACACGTTAGCACTCTGTGCTGAGCTTGAAGATGGGACRGGTGGGGGAACTGGTGTCTTTCTACAGGGTCACTCTACAGAGGCATTGCCCGCATCCCACTGAAGAGGCACAACCCAGCCAGGAACCGGGCCAGAGCTGGGGTGGCTCAAAGCAGTTTTGCAGGAGAGCTGACCTGGTCTCTTGAGGCCAGATGGGGAGTGTTAGTCCACAACTCTATCCCTACTAGTTTGGAAATTTGGGAATAAGAATATTACCAAACACCTGACCGGCCCGTTGGCCAAATCTGCACATCTGCCCCAGCGGGCCCAGAGCAGCCCCCACACCCTCGCCTGCCTGCCGTGGACCCTCCAGCCTGTCCTCCAGCCTGTCCCACAGCCCCAAGCCTACCCGAAGCTGGCCCTGAGGGCTAAGTCCCTGTGTCCCCATCACCAATTCCTGTCACCTTCTGGCCTGTGGTCAGAGCTGGAGCCTTACCTGAACCTTGCTATGGGGGCCCGTGGCGGAGGCAGCGGCAGGGACAGCAKCTGCATCCCGCTGCAGCAGCTGGAGGCCCAGGCTGGACAGCTCTTTCTTGATGCTCATCATGATGTCCGAGTGGTTCTCGTAGCTCTTGAGCTGCTCCGTGAGATGGCGTACGCTCTCCTTCACCACCTCGTTCTCCTGGCTCAGGTTGGCCTTGATGCTCTGTGGGGCAGGATGAAGGTCACTCCTTGGCCCGCTTTCTCGGAGTCCCCATCCCAGAGGGATGCCCCAGCTTGGCCATGCAGCCCTGCTGCCCAGTCTCCTGGGGCAGGGGATAGGGCCCCAGCAGGGATGACACCGGGAAAACCCAGGCGGAACAAAGCATGGACTAGGAGGCCTGGTGGCTGTTCATGTTTTAAATTTAACAAGTGAAGGAATGAAAATATAGATAATACACGYTTATGGTACTGAATTAAAAAGACATAAATAAATGAGTCTAAAATATATATCTTCTCTCAGCCTTTTTTATTTCTCAGTGCTAACCATTGTTATGCATTTCTTGCATGTCCTTCTAAAGAGTCAGTACAGTGACAGGGACAAATGTATATGTACAGCCAGGCTCTGGGCACCTCTATAATCCCAAAGACTTGGGAGGCTGAGACAGGAGGATCATGAGGCCAGCCTCAGCAACTTAGAGAGACCCTGTCTCAAAATAAGAAATAAAAAGGGCTGGGGATGCAGCTCAGTGCTAGGGTATCTCTGGGTTTAATCCCCAGTACCCCCCCAAAAAAGCATATACACATATATCTTTTCAATACTTTTCTTTTTCATTTAACAGCCTATTTTGAGAACTGTTCCATATCTGTCTATATGGCTATATAGTGCTCGCTGTTTTTWTTTTTTTTCTGTATCAAGGATTGAACTCAAGGGCGCTAGACCACTGAGCCACATCCCCAGCCCTATTTTGTATTTTTTTTTTTTTAAAGATTTAGCTTTTTTCAATATTCATTTTTTATTTTAGTTTTAGGTGAACACAATATCTTTATTTTATTTTTATGTGGGTGCTGAGGATCGAACCCAGTGCCTCGCACATGCCAGGCGAGTGTGCTACCACTTGACCCACATCCTCAGCCCTATTTTGTATTTTTTTTAAATATATTTTTTTTTATTTGTGGACAAACACAATATCTTTATTTTATTTATTTATTTTTATGTGGTGCTGAGGATCGAACCTAGTGCCTTATGCATGCGAGGCAAGTGCTCTACCACGGAGCTACAACCCCAGCCCTATTTTGTATTTTATTTAGAGACAGGGTCTCACTGAGTTGCTTAGTGCCTCACTTTTTCKGAGAATGACTTTGAACTCACGATCCTCCTGTCTCAGCCTCCCCAGCTGCTGGGWTTACAGGCTGGYGCCAGGGCAACCGGCTTCCCTGTTCCTTTTAATGGCCACTCATTGTACCATTGTATGCACAGCCAGAATTTAGTTAGCCCTTAGGGACGGTCACTGAAGTTGCTTTTGACCTTTTGCTATTTTAAAAGTATTTTTTTAACATTACAAGTAATACATAAATATATGCCTTTCTTCTTCTTCTTTTTCTTAGKACTGGGCTGGAACCCAGGCCTCCAACAAGCTAGGCAAATGCTTTACCTGAGTTACAGTCCCAGCCCATAAACACTTTCTTTTTATAACATATTTAAACAATGTAGTTGGAGTAGACTGGGGCTYTGCTGTGGGCCAGTCTCTGGCCTTGGACCCCTCTCCTGGGCCCGGGGGTCCTCCCACAGCCCTGAGCCCTGCCTCTCCTCCTGCTGGGGCCCYGCTGCCCAGGCTAACTTTAGCAGCTCCCAGCCCATCCGGAGTCTACTCCTGGTTCTAAATCCTGCTGGCAACCACTGCTCAGAACCAAGATGCTCCTCACTCTGAGTCCTCYGTAACCTCAGGATCCTGCTGGCTGGGCTGCTGCCCAGGTTGGCCCTGCCCACTGCACAGCACTCAGGGAAGCTGGGTGGGCCGGTAAGGTCCCCAAGACTCCAACAGGCCTGGATACGTCAGAAACTACTTCTGAGCTGAGGCAGGAGAGAGCAGAGTTAGCTCCAGGGAGCACTTTGCTGAGAAGCCAAGGAGCATCTGAGTTTCATTTCAAATTTCACTCAGAAACCATTCTAGAACCTTAAAGTGGTWCATGTCCAGTCAGCCCTGGGGGACTCAGATTTAGGCACCAACCAGGGGGAGGCAGGAGACTGATACACGTGGGTTCAAATCCTTCCTCTCCACTTTGTGGACCGGGTAACTTTGGGTGAGTGAGGATTTCTCTGAGTCTCAGCTTCCTTGCCTGTAAAATGGGGATTCACATTAAGATGCAGGGTCACTGTGAGGACCAGAAAGGCTAAGGAATGGGAACGTGCATTTTATTATGCTATATTTTATTTTATATTTTGAAGGTCCTGATTTCTTTTTTTTTTTTTTAAATTTGTTCTACTTAGTTGTACCCTAGCAGAATGCATTTCAATTCACCGCACACACATATGGAGCGCAACATTTCAATTCTCTGATTGTACCTGACGTAGAGACGCACCATTCCTGCAATCATACATGTATCAGGGTAATGATGACCATCTCATTCCACCATCTTTCCATCATTCACCATCTTTTCCCGATAACCCCTCCTCACCCTTCCCTTTGCCCCACCCAAAGTTCCTTCATTCTTCCCACCCCCCCCATCATAGATCAACATTCACTAATCTGAGAAAACACTCGGCCTTTAGGTTTTTTGGGATTGGCTTACTTCACTTGGCATAMTATTCTCCATCTCCTTCCATTTACCTACAAATAATTTTAATTCACTTTTAATACTGAGTAATATTCCATTGTGTATATAAACCACAGTTTCTTTACCCATTAATCTATTGATGGGCATCTAGGTTGGGGGCACGTGCATTTTAAACTGTGATGACAGTTAAGGCAGAAGTTGAAAAGTGTAAGGCAGACTTCTCCACAATAGTCAGCACTATTGACATTTGCCAGGTGGCCATTTGTTGCTGGGGACAGTCCTGCACATTGCAGGGTATTTAGCAGCATCTCTGGCCTCTACCCACGAGAAGCCAGTGGCATCTTGGCAACCCAAGATGTCTCCAGATATTGCTGGCTGAGGGGGACAAACTTACACCTGGCTGAGAACCACTGGTGGAGGAGAACAGAGGAAAGCCGGGACCCCACATTGCTACCTGACACCCTGGCAGCGTCCTCCCTTTGGCAGAGGGAGCCAGCTTCTCCTGAGAAAGACTGTTCTCTCCACTCCCTCCCAGAGATAGCAAAGAGCTGTTTTTTGTCCCATAGGTTTATCACTTAGCAAACCACGGTTAACAAAAACATAGCACAGATAATGCAAAACAGAAGACAATTAAACAATCATTGCTCTGTGGCTGTGAAAATCATTTCTGATTTGTTCCAGGCTCTGCAGATTACCTTCCAGATCATCTGGCTCAGTTACGTGAAGTGGGTGAGTATTTCCTGAGATTACAAGAGGAAAGGTCAAAGGAGGAGAGCCTCAGAGCTGGCACCAGCAGAGCCTGGATTATGCCAGGTACCCAGGAAATACAGGTGCACAGAACAAATTCAACAAGCGTGAGCTCTCCCCCACGCAGGCCTGGGCTTGGCCAACAGTGGACCTCACCAAACACTTTTTGAGTCATTAAAGCCACTGTGACCAAAGCTTTAGGCTAAGGGGTTAATCTCCCACTCTGGGGCACAGGATGCCCAGGTGCCCTCTCTCTCTGTAAAGGAAGCTGGGAAAGGAAGCCCCCACGCCTGCTCCTGGCAGCTGCAGGCTCCCAGACACCCAGTGGCTCAGCAGAGACCGGATGCAGGAAATGGGAGGAGGCCACGCTATGCCAGCAGAGGCCAGCAACCCTTGAGCCTGTAGCCTGGACCCCCACGCTCATCTAAGGCTCTCCCTGTCCCCAGAGGGCAGTCCTGGCTGTCTGCCCAGCCATACAGCAGATTTACCCTGAACAGGCAGGATAGTTAGCACTTCGGTCTCCCCGCGGATGGTTCTGGGACAGTCATACTGTCCTGAGTCTAGCCCCAGCCAGCTTAGCCAGACCTGCCATATTGTGTCCATCCAGCAGGCACCACTGACCTGGCCACTTCTGTGAGTGATTCCCTCAGAGCTATGCAGTGTGGGGCCTGACCTTGGCTCACTGGGGGCAACTGCAAGTGCCAGTCCCTACGCACTTCTCTCCTACAACAGCAGGTGCCTTGGTTTCCCCATCCAAGCTTCCAGCTCCCTATAGGCCCTGGAGCTGCAATCAGACCTCTTCTCCAAAGGCTGGACCCCGTGGGCTACGCCTCCCTCCCCCCAATCCCTCCTGGAGTCCAGATCCCAAAACCCACCAGGATCAAGCCAGAATTGCCCAGGTGGACCCTGCCCTGAGCCCCCAGCACTGCACTAGCCTGGCCCTGGCAGGAGCCCGTCCTTACCTCTTCCAGTGTGTCCATCTGGGAGGCCACCTTGTGGACATAGGYGTGCACTTTCATCAGGTCCATGCTGTACAGAGCGCCCTCCAGGAGATCCACCATAGACTGCAGCTGCAGGGGAAGGGGAAGGGTTCCACAAGGMCCAGTGAGGAACCTCGGAACCCACAGCCTCAGAGGGTCAGCCTGGGCCCGTGCACCCACTAGTCCAGTCTGCCCACGGTCCCAGGGGCTGCAGATCCTCCCTTGTGAGCTCCTATCACTTGCCAGGCTAGGGGCTTAGTGAGTTCTGTCACTTAGTCCTGGTAGCAACCCCACGGGGAGTAGAGAGGACACTGGGGGCTTGTCTGGATCTCCTGGGTCCCTATTTCCCCTGACTTCCATGGGCTTCCTTTTAAAATTTTTAAAAATTTATGCATTTGTGGRCTGGGGTTGTGGCTCAGTGGTAGAGCACTTGTCCTGCGTGAAGCCCTGCGTTCTTTCTTCAACACCACATAAAAATAAATAAGTAAAGTAACAGCATTGTGTCCATCTACAACTAAAAAAATATTTTAAAAATTTTATTTATTTTCACTGGGAACTGAACCCAGGGATGCCCTAACCTGGAGATACATCTCCAGTTTTTTTTTTTTTTTTTTTTTTTGGTAGATGGACACAATACCTTTATTTATTTGTTTATTTTTATGTGGTGCTGGGGATTGAACTCAGTGCCTCACGCATACTAGGCAAGTACTCTGCCACCGGAGCCATAACCCCACCTCTAGTTGTTTTTATTTTTTTTATTTTAAGACAGGAACTTGCTAAGTTGCCAAGGCTGGCCCCTTGCAATCCTCCTACCTCAGCCTCCCAAGCTGCTGGGATTACAGGTGTGGGCCATTGCACCTGGTATTAAGTCTATTTTTTGTTTACACAYGATCATGGTACATATTGACGTGGTATGGTGTGACCTTGTAATACATGTATATGCTGTGTAATGATCAAATCAGGGTAATTGGCAGAGCCATCRCAGCAGACATTTACCAATTTCTTTGTGCTGGTATATATTCGAATGTTCAAAATTCTCTCCTGTAGTTATTTTGAAATATACAATTCATTGCTGTCAGCCACAGTCTTCCTACTGTGCTGCTGAGCATAGTGGTTATTCCTCCTCTCCRACTGCACCCCACACCAGCTGACCATCCTGGTGTGCCTTTCTTTTAAGCAAATATATCTGTGATTCTTTTCAAGGATCCACTAAGCTCCCAAAGTGCTAGGCCACCTTGGGGGTGGCTCTGAGGCGTGACTGACGAGTGTGGCATCCCAGCTTCCTTGCCCCAGAGGGGAGAACTGGTGTTCCCCTGGGAACCTGGCTGAGGCTGGCTCTTGTCCTGGGCCACACCCTTCTGGACGTCTCCCCTCCCCCCTGCTTCTGCCCCTTTACTCTCTCTAGAGAACACCTTCGTAGTATGTCCCTTGCATACAAATCTCTGGTTCCCAGGCCTGCTTCTAGTGACCCAACCAAACCCAAAGGATGGCCAGTGTTTACCCCCAGGGAGGAGAAGTGACTTGCCCACGGCCAGGAGGTGACAACAGTGGGGCCAGGCCCAGGGTCCAGGTTAGAATAAACCCGAGCGTTTCCCATCATGCTCTGCTGCTCCCGTCTTGGGTTCCCACAGGGAAACAGGGGCTCGGGGTRAGGGGCTTGCACCACAGGTCCACGGCAGGGCTGGGAGCAATGCCTGGCCTTCTGGCCCAGCCCAGGGTTTGCTCTGCAGCTGCCCCCCCTCCTCAGGATACGACACTCCCCCCCCCCCTCCATGGCCAAGATGCCAGCAAGARGGTCAGGGAAACCTTGGCCCCAGGGACTGGCTGGGAAATCAGCCCTCCCTGGCTTCTTGGGAAGGGCAGTTCCTGTGGCCCACCTCCCACACGGCTCCCTCCCGTCCGCAGCCTCTCTCAGGGCCTGGGGAGGCCAGTGCGCCTGTCTGGCCCAGGCCAGCTATTCCCAAAGTGGAAGTTTTACTCCCACTTTCCCAGGGGTGTTCAGACTCTTTTAAGCCAGGGAATTTTTCTCTGAGGAGAACCTAAGCTCTGAAACAGAAAAGGGGGTGGGCACCCCTGCTGGGAGCCGTGGTAGGGCCCAGAGACCTCTCTGCTCCCTCACAACCTCACTCTGGCCCTGGGGGGTTGCCCAGCACCCCCAGGCTCTGTGGCGCACAGCTGGAGAGCCCTGCAGAAGTGTCCTCTGCTGTGAGAGGGGGCAGTAGGGCTGTGGTAAGGAGGGGGGACTCTGCGCTGAGCTGAGCTGAGCCCAGCTGGGCACACAGCAAGGGCTTCTGAACACCAGTGCCACGGTCACTGTTCCAGGGGGCCAATGGGCAGCTCCCAGCCTCACTCTGTGCCTTCACGGCCTCTGAAACTAGCTTTGACAAGGGTCTCTCCCTGCCGGGTAGCTTTCCRTGGCTCCCCACTGCCCGCATATGGTGTCCCTCCTCCTGAGCCTGGCATTTGATCCACCCCTGCCCCCCTCTTCAGGCTCAGCACAGGTTTACACTGAGTCACGTACAGAGAGGAACAAGAGGACTTGAGCCCCCAGCGTCCTCTACAGACAAAGACACAGGCGGTGACACATAGGCACCCAGAACAGGGGACACAGGCAGTGACACATGGATGCCCAGATCACTCATGGTGCGGGGGCCAACTTTGTCTGGAGCTGGGTGTGGATTAGGAAAGGCTGCTGGGGGGTTTTGTTGGAGCCAAGCTCTGACAGAGGAGCACAGATCAGGCAGCAATGTCCCAGAAAGGACATTCCGAGCCAAGGGTACAGCGTGTGCCATGTGCTGGAGGTGAGGAGAAAGAMACACGGTGTGCTGCAGCAGGCTGCTCCGAGTGTGTCCTGTGACAAGCGCGGGTTCAAGCTGCCCACTAYGTCTCTAATAAAATGATTACAGAACACGAGACGGCTTCTTAGAAAGCTTTAYAGCCACTTGACAGAGCAGCTGTCTATTTGTGGACTCAAGAAAACACTGGCTTACATTTGGCATGTCTGTCTTTGTTTTGGTTCATTTTTCTAATAACTCATTGGTGTTTTACAAAAATATTGGTCTTTGACAGATTTTTTTCCTTTTCTTTTTAAAAAGTCAGCCAGGTGTGGTGGTCCGTGCCTCTGATCCCAGCGACTTGGGAGGCTGGGGGAGGAGGATGACAAGTACAAGGCCAGCCTCAGCCAATGACCAGGTGCTAGGCAATTTGGTGGGAGCCTATCTATCAAAAAAAAAGGGGAGGAGGGGCTGGGATGTGGCTCAAGCGGTAATGTGCTCGCCTGGCATGCGAGGGGTGCTGGGTTGGATCCTCAGCACCACATAAAAATAAAATAAAATAAAGAAGTTGTGTCCATCGAAAAAAACTAAAAAATAAATATTAAAAAGTTCTCTCTTTCTCTCTYAAAAAAAAAGTGGGGGAGGAGCTGGGGATGTGGCTCAGTGGTTAAGCACCCCTGGGTTAAAAAACAAAAAACAACAACAAAAAACCAGGTGATCCTTCACTGCAGATAGTTTGAGAAACACTATATAAGAGGAGGTGACAGGAGGCCAGCAGGGCTCGGGCAGAGAGGGCAGGGAGGCCTCTGTCACATGTACTCCACTGGCCCTTGTCCAGGACGGCCTCACTTCTCTGCCTGAGGAACTCCTACACATCCTTCAAGGCCCATCCAAGGTTATCCCCTGCTTGCGGCTCTCTCAGTCCCTGGGACATCCCTGGCCCAGTACTGAACACACTGCCTTCTTGGGGTCAGTAGCTGTGTCCTGACAAGCCTGGGGACTTCTCCAGGCTAGGCCACGTGTGCTCCATGATCGGAAAGCAAGGAGTAGAGGAGGGGAGGCCACCAACCTGATCTGGAGGGAGCTGCGCAGAGCCCTGCAGGAGGCCAGGTCCCAGCTGGAGCTAGCACCTGGAGGGGAGGAGGGTGACGCASGCAGGTGCCCTGCTGAGGCCCCGCCCCATGTTTCAGAGTAACCTCGTGCCAAGGGGGGGCCACACTGAATGGGAGAAGCCAGTGCCTTGCCCCTTTCTCCTCCTGGGGTTCAGTGGGTACCCTCGGCACTCACTCCTGCCCTGTGAGCTCAGTGAGGCGGGATCCCCTGGGCCTGCTCTGGCCCCACCTGCTCAGTCCACCTTCACCCTACTCTCCCAGCTCTCCACGGCTGAGTCAAGTCCCCCATGTCTGCAGGGCATGAGAAGGCCTAAGGGACCATGGCCTGGTAGAGAAGGCTCCTGGGTGAGAGAGCTGCCTGTGACCTCTCTTGTGGGCAAAGGGATGCTACAGGGAATTCCCTGGTTCAAATCTTAGTACTGTCACTCTCTTGCTGTGTGATCTTAGGCAAGTCATAACCCCTCTCTGGGCCTCAGAGTCCCTTACAAGTAAAGCTGGCACCATAAGTTCCCTTTCCCAAGGGTTGCGGCAAGGATTAAAGTAGCCAGTGTTCATGAAAAGAGCTTTGTGTGTCTTCATGTCAAGCATCTTTATGATTCAGTTACTGAGAAGCAGACTGGAACAGAAATTGAATTTGTCCCTGTCAATGAAGACAAGTCTGTGGCCTGAGTGGCTGAAGTTGCTTGGGAATTTCCAGGAAGACAGTGTGGTTCAGTGACYGTCAAACTGTCAGGAGGCCTAAAATTCACCTTCCCCCTCCAAKTTTGTAAATATTTGGCATGCAATGTCCATGAAACTGTCAGGTTAGGTGTTATGAAAATAAAACTAAAGGTAAAATTAAAGAAAACATTCTTAGCCAATTGCTGTGAGACAATTCTCTCTTTCTCTTTATTTTTTTTGGGTGGGGGTTACTAGAGATTTACCACTGAGATACATTCCCAGTCCTTTTTATATTTTTGTTTTGACACAGCCTCTCACTAAGTTGCTAAACTTGGGATTCTCCTGCCTCAGCCTCCTGAGCAGCTGAGACACCATGTCCAGCATTGGAGACAAGTTTTCAGGGTCTCTTGCTTTTCTGCACATCTTGCACACAGARGAGCTGTCTTTGTTCCCAGCCATCTCGTTGTATAGGGAACAGCTCTGGAAGAAGGCAAGAGCAGAGCATTTCCCTCCAGAAAATTATAAAAGGTTCAGATTTCCTTAACTCGGGGCTCTTCTCTATAACACTGCTCCCTGTGTGCGCTGTGGGTAATCTGCCTCTAACTGCATCACCCCATGGAAACTTGAGCTGGGAAACCAGKGCAAGAAAATATTTGCTGGCCGGATGCAGTGGCCAGTAATCCCGGTGGATCCAGAGGCTGAGGCAGGAGGATCACAAATTTGAGGCCAGTCTCAGCAATTTAGCAAAGCTCTAAGGAACTTAGGGAGACCTTGTGTCAAAACGAAAACCCAGGGCTGGGATTGTGGCTCAGCGGTAGAGCGCTCGCCTAGCACGGGCGGGACCCGGGTTCAATCCTCAGCACCACATAAAAATAAAGGCATTGTGTTGTGTCCATCTACACCTAAAAAATAAATATTAAAAAAAATTGAAAACCCAAAAGAATTGGGCTTGTGGCTCAGTGGTAAAGTGCCCCTAGGCTAAATCCTCAGTACCAATAAAAATAAAAATAAAAATGAAAAATTGCTGTGAGTAGTAAAATCCTTTGTCTTGGACCCAGGAGGCTTGAGTCTTCTGCCAACGTCTATGAAACTGTCAGGTTAACTTGTTAGCTCACAGGCAGGGTAACCTTGCATGCTTTGTGACACCAAACAGGCAAAACAGACACATGTTTGGAAGGAGTTGAAAAGGATACTTGGAAAAGATGCCAACAATCTGGCCCTTTTCAATAGAAAGAAGAGAAAAGCCCTTGAAGCACCTGCTCTGGACACAGTAGAACCTCAGTTCCAATCCCAGCCCCATCAGTCTTACTGGGTGCCCTGCTGGGTTTGGTATGAATGGCACAGAGGCATCTGGCTGGCAGTGGGGACTGAGATGTACCCAGAACACACCTAACCTTGGGCCTAGTGGTGGGCCCTCACCCTGGTGTTGGCTTTCCCAGAAATGGGACCTCTCTTGAGTCTGCCTATGGGGATGCAGTTTCTAATTCACACAGAAGTGGAGTGTCCCTTACCAGAAATGCTTGGGACCAGAAAGTTTTGTATTTGGATTTTGATTTTTGGGGGGGAATTTTATAATATTTGCAAATATACGGCTTGGGATGGAACCCAAATCTAAACACAAAATTCATTCTGTTTCACAGACACTTTATACATATAGCTGAACGTAATTTTATATAATATTTTAAATAATTTGTTCAGGAAACAAAGTCTCATGGTACAGAATTTTCCACTTGTGGACCTCAAAAAGTTTCAGGTTGTGGAACATTTCAGATTTTGGATTTTCAGATTAGGGAGGTTCAACCTGTATAGACAGAGGCTGCCTGTCACTGGGTGACAAGTTACCTAGCTCCTCTAAACCTCCAGTTTTCCAAATTATAAAACGAAGACGATCATCTCACATGTCACAGAATGGTATAAGCATTCGGAGAAATAACTTATAAAAGGAGTTTGGCGGAACAGTCGTGGGCAAGAAGTGAGTTCTCCCTGGGGAGCTTCAGTTTCCTGACCTGTGAAATGGGGTGGTGACAGCACTTGCCTCCCAGAACGTGGTGCGCTGTCACCGAAGGACGCCTGGCACCACCTCCCTGGCCCCGCCACGCCTACCTTGAGGAGCTCAGGTGCCTGTCTTTTGAGTTTCTCCATCTTCCACTCGTTCTCGCAGGGGTTGAGCGAGGAGGGTGGTGCGGTGCAGGAGCAGCGGCAGTCGGTGCCCGAGCTCAGGGTCTCCACGGTGTAGAAGTCCTCCACCCTCGCGCGCCCACTGCGCACCCGGCTGCACGCGTCCTTGCTCAGCGGTCGCATGATGCACTTGCAACGGCAGTCCGAGCCCTCCGACGTCATCCGCACCTGGTCCAGGTCACCGAACACCTGTGGGGATGGAGGAGTCAGGGGGCTCCGTGCGACGTCAGCCAGTGCCRTGGGGTGAGCAGGATCCAGCCCGGCTGGCCTGATGCGGGGCGGGGGTAAAGGTGGTGGTGCGGGGTGGTGGGGCAGCCCCTGCAGGGAAATAGGGCCCTTATGTGTCTGCACAGCTGTCACCCCAGCAACCTGGGAGGCCAAGGCAGCAGGATTGCAAATTCTGTCTATCTAAGAACCTGGAAGATCTTCCCATCTTGAGGATTGCAAATCTGAGACTTCAGTAATTTAGGCAGACTGTTGCCTTAAAATAAAAAATAAGCTGGCCATGGTTGTGCACATCTGTAATCCCAGTGGCTTGGGAGGCTGAGGCAGGAGGATCTTGAGTTCAAAGCCAGCCTCAGCAACTTAGTGAGGTCCTAAGTAACTCAGTGGGACCCTGTCTCTAAATAAAATGCAAAAAAGAGCTGTTAAGCACCCCTGGATTTCCTCCCTAATACCAAAAAAATTTAAAATAAATAAATAAAAGTGCTGGGGATATAGTTCAGGAGTAGAGCCCAACAGGCTTTAATTAATAATAATAATAATAATAATAATCCACAATAATAATATTATTATTAATAAATAGCTATTATTGCTACTATTACTATTAATGACTGCTATGGAAAAGTCTACTGGGTCTTCAATAAGTTAAACAGAATTACCATAAGATTTTTAAATTTTTTTGTATTGGGAATGGAACAGAGGAGCATTCTACCACTGAGATATACCCCCAGATCTTTTTATTTATTATTTTGAGCCAGGGTCTTGTTAAATTGCCCAAGACCTTGCTAAATTGCTGAGGCTGGCCTTGATCCTGTGATCCTCTTGTCTCAGCCTCTGAGGTCATGTGGATTATAGGTRTGTGTCACTGCTCCTGGCTGATCCAGTAATTCTTTGTTTGGAAAACAGGTATCCAAAGACCTGTGTGAACATTCATAGCAGCATTATTCAAACAGGCACAGAATGAACACAACACACATTCCAGCCACTGAATAGTTAAACAAAATGTGGTATGTAGACACAATTAAATATCACTCAGCCATAAAAAGAAGTGGGGTACTGATTCAGGCTGCCACACAGATGAGACTTGAAAACATAATGGTAAGTGAAAGAAGCCAGACACGAAAGGTGACATATTGTACAATTCCATTTATATGAAATATCCAGAATAGGCAAATCCAGAAAGACAGAAAGCAGACTAGCAGTTGGAAGGATTCAGAGGGAGAGAGAAATGGGAGTGGCATTTAACAAGATTTATTTTTGGGGTGATAAAAATTTTCTGGAACTACAGAGTGGTGATGCTCACACAACACTGTGAATGCACTGCCTCCCACTAAACTATATACTTTTTAAAAAAAAATAGTACTGGGAATTGAACCCAGCATGCTCTACCACTAAGCCACATCCCCAGTCCTTTTTAAATTTTTCTTTTAAGACAGGATCTTGATAAATTGCCAAGGCTGACCTTGACCTTGCAATCCTTCTACCTCAATCTTCCAAGTCACCAGGATTACAAGCCTACATCATCATGCCTAGCATAAAGTGGTAACTTTTATGTTACTTTTCTAAAATGTAATATTTATTTAATTGAGCACTTACTTTATCCTAGGTTTTACAGGCATTATGTCCTTTAATAATACATATGTGAGGGTATCATTACCTCCAAAGTCCTAACCATGTGACCTGATGCTCTTGCTCTAATCTCTCTTCTTACTGCCCTTCCCTTCTGATGGCTTACTCCACTTCAGCCTACRGTCCTTTGCATATGTGATGCTCTCACCCTAAAACCTCATCCCTTTCACATTCCCCTGGTTTGTTCCATTATGCTGCTTATTTCTCACCTTATGTGTCACCTCCTCTGAGAAGCCTCCCCTGACTATTCTTTATGGCCTTATTCAGTGCTGTGCTTTTCATTATGTGAACACCTGAAATATTGTACCTCTATTTGCTTATTTTCTTTCTTTCCTTCTTTTTTTTTTTAAGAGAGAGAGAGATAATTTTTTTAATATTTATTTTTTAATTATTGGTGGACACAACATCTTTGTTTGTATGTGGTGCTGAGGATTGAACCCGGGCCACACGCATGCCAGGCGAGCGCGCTACCGCTTGAGCCACATCCCCAGCCCTCTTTCCTTCTCTTTTATAGGCAACATTAGAGACAGGGTTTGGCTGGGAGTTTGGTTCGGTAGCAACCATCTCCAGCACCACCACCAATAAAAAAATATATTATTTAAAGACAGGTGCTGTGTTTAGTGCTCTCCTGTACCCCAGACCGTGCCTACTTGACCTCTGCTGAGAGTAGGAGCTCCACAAGTACCTGCTGGACAAGCAGGCCACCTTCCATAGAGAAGCCAGAGAGCATCCGAGCAGGTGCCTGGAGCCTGGAGCCCGGGGAGACGGTGAGCAACTCCACCTTTCTGTGCCTCAGTTCCTCATCTGTAACGTGGGCTACTGCCTCTGGGGCTGTTATGAAGGTGAGTTCAGGGCCCAGCGTGTATGAAGTGTGCCTTCTCTGCGTACTGTTAGTAACTAACGTGGGTTAAAAAAACAGGTTCAGCCGAGTGAGTCACGGGCTCGAGGTCACACACCTCTGAAGTAGAAGATCTGGTTCCAGAATACAATCCACAAACCCCATACCACTTCTCTTACTGACTTATTCCCCATGTCCGGAGTGACTTCAAATGTKTTACACAACCTTGCTGAGCCTCGGAGGATTCTCCATAGCCAGCTTCCTCATGGTGGGGATCCAACCAGATGACACCAGCCCTTCCCTTTTCTTTCTTTTTCTTTTTAACATTTAATTTTTAGCTTTAGGTGGACACATATCTTTATTTTATTTTTATGTGGTGCTGAGGATCGAACCCAGTGCTCACGCATGCCAGGCGAGTGCGCTACTACTTGAGCCACACGGCAGCCCCAGCCCTTCCCTTTTCTTTCAGCCCCCTCCTGGKGGGACACAGGGAACACACCGTCCAGGTGTGCTGCTCACTGGTCACTGGGGGCAGCAGGGCTTTGTGCCTGTGGGAGTCAGCCTAGGGCGTCCCGCAGCCTGCCTGGCCCTGACACACCTCTGGGCCCTGGGCCCCTGGGCAGCCTGCCCCCTAGCTGGCCCAGCTGCCCACACTGGGCTCTGGGACCTTGGCCGTTATTCATGGCTCAGTCAACAAACTTTGCTGGTCTTGGGGCTGCTTGGCTTTTCCCGAAGGCCCCCAGGACTCAAGTGAGCTTGTGGCTCCCTCGGGCTTTCTGCCAAGCCCAGGGCTGTGGGTGTCCCGGGACCTTCTGGGAGGGCCTCGGGTACCCCACTTCTGCTCAGTCATCTATTTGAGCCCCTGGTCTCTGCCAGGCCCTGGGTGCTAGCTAGGGGTACAGAAGAAAGAGATTGAGGCATCCTCTTGACCTTCGCAGCCTTGGAGAAGTGTCTGGGTGAACTCCGACAGCAGACAACTCAGAGGAGGGCCCCTTTGGAGGGCGTCTCTCAGGGGGACATGGGCATTCTGGGAAGTCAAACAGACCAGTGAAAACACCCAAGGGCTTGGCTCTCCGGGGGCCTAGAGGTGGCTCACTCTGGCTTGTGTCTTTGGGGGCCAGGGTGGCAGGAGGTGAGGCTGGTGTGGGTGGAGGGACCTGCGCTGGCTGAGATCTTGGCATTTTTCTGGAAACACTAGGGAGCCTCGGAAGGATTTTAAACAGCAGAGAACCAAGGTCGGATCCACACCACAGGAAGCTCACTCAGGCTGCTGCGGGGACAGATGGCAGATATGCGCAGCAAGCTCAGGACACACAGCCCAGAAGGCATTTCTGGAGCACTCCTTCAGCATTGGGGCAGGGGTAGAACACAGTCATGGGCCACCTACAGCTGTGTGCTCTTGGAGGGATTACTTAACATCTCTGGGCCTTCATTTCCTCATCTGTAAAATGGGGGTGTTACTAGTGCTTACCCAACAAAGGTCTGTGTGAGGACTRAGCTGGAGTCCCAGAGCACACTGGGTATCACCTATACTGCAGCTGTCATTCTCACTGTCAGTAGTCCTGAACGGGAGTTGGCTGTTCATTTCTCTGTGGGAGTGGAAGATATTCTCTCTCTCTTTCTTTCATTCATTCTTCTACTTTTAGCAGCATCCTACAGGCAAGGAGACAGTTCTGGAGCCATCAAATGAGAGGATGAGCCCTTGTCATGTGGACTTCCTTGCTCTCTGCAGCTGTGCAGGAGGAGGGGAGAGTGGGAGCTGAGGAGGGTGGCGAAGGGTGGAAGGAGTGTGTCCCGGCCACTGTGGGCCAAGTCTCTCCCGCCTGTGAACACTGACAGCGAGACCTGGGAGCCTGGGATTCTCTAGGCCTCTGGGAGTGCCCTAACCCTGCCTTTTCTTGCCAGTCCCCAGTAGGGCCAGGCTCAGTGGCACACGCCTGTCATCCCAGCAACTCAGCTGAGGCTGAGGCAGGAGGATCGTGAGTGCAAGGTCAGCCTCAGGAACTTAGTGAGGCTCCAAGCAACTTGGAAGACCCTGTCTCTAAATAAAATATAAAATTAGGCTGGAGACGTGGTTCAGGGGTTTAAATGCTCCTGGGTTCAATCCCGGGCCCTAAAACAAGCCCAGCAGGTAAATGTGGTTGTGTGCTGTGTGGTCAAGCCAGAGAGGCCTCTCCAGGACCCGCCTACCCAACACCCACCCCACCCGCAGCAGCCTCCACATTAGGCTGCTACATTCCTTCCCTCCTCAGATGAGCTGCTATGTCCTGCTGGGGGCGGCCAAGGCCCTGACACAGGCCAGGAGTTGGAAGAGGTCCTCTGCTCCCAGCCCTGGCTGCCAGGAGTCCAGGCACATCCCGTGAAACTGAACTGGGGACAGCATAGTGCCATTTTTCAGTTTGGGAGTCTGGAAACCATGGGTGCACCCAGAGCAGCGGGCAGGGATCTGGCACAGAATAACTTCTCTGAAAGGTACCTGCTTTGGCTGCTGAAAACCCTCCCTCATCTTCACCCATCGTTTTCTATCCCTCTTTTTAAAAAATATTTTTTAGTTGTCAATAGACCTTTTATTTTATTTATTATTTATTTATATGTGGTGCCGAGGCTGGAACCCAGGGCCTCGCACATGCTAGGTAAGCGCTGTTATCCCGAGCCCCAGCCCAGCCCTTTCTATCCCTCTCTGCTATCACCACAACCCCATCTTAGGAAGAGAGAAGCTGAGTGTCAGAGAAGACTAGGGGCTTGCCCAGGGCTGCACAGCACAACCAGGCTCCAAAATCTGGTTTACATGTCGTCCCTCCCAGGACCACCCACAGTCACCAGACAAGGGCTTCTCCCCAGCAACTGAGCTGGGACAGATGGGTCTGCAGAGCAAGGGGCCCTGGGAGGAATAGGGGCTGGGGCTTCCCTGGGCCTGACCCACCCTGCCTTGGCAGGAAGACTAGAGTTGCAGCCAGGTAGGAAGTTCCTGCCTCAGTCGCCCTCCTCCTGGAGCCGTGCTCTGTGCTGCTGCCAAAGCCCCTAGGCGGTTTTTATGCTGAAAAATGTCCAAGGAAATCTCACAGCGAGATGGCAAGAGGGTGTACTTGAGATTTTTCTGAAGAAGAGATGGATAAATCTGGCCAGAGTGGGAAGGGAGGGTTCAAGCTGTGGAATGTTCTAGCAATGGGGGAACAGGCCCGAATGCTGTCATGTGGAGGTTGGGGCTGCCCTTGGCYCTTAGAGCAGCCCAGCCGGGTGAGACAGTTTCCACACAAAGCCTTCCCCTGGAGCCCACTGTCACTGGACACCTCCCCTGGATCCCACAGGCACAGAAAACTTGATCCATCCAAGACCAACATCCAGCCAGCCTCCTTCTCCCAAACCTGTGCCCACCTACCTTCCTGCCCCACCTGGATTTCTGGATTTCTTTTGTTCCCTGCATGACCTGTCAGTCACCATGTTCTTCAGGGTCTTCACCCTAAGTGTCTCCTACCTCTGTCTACTCCAGGGACACAGCCCTAAGTCAGGCCACAGGAACTGTTGTCTGGACAACCAATACAGGCGCTTCTTCTCAGCTCATCTTCCAACGCTCTTCTTTGATGATCAGTGTTACTCTTTTGCTCCACAAACCTCTGTAGCTCCCTATCACCCCCACAAGTTCTAAACAGTGGGACATGCCTCAGAATGACTTGGGGTGCACTTGGAAAATGCAGATGTCTTGACCCTACTCGCCACCCCGATTCAGACTTTCTCAGGCTCYCTAGGCCATTTGGATGAGAACTAAATGCCAAGAATCTTGAAGCTCTAGGAATCTCCAAACTCTCATGTTCCCTCTGTTGATACCCAGGCAGCCCCAGTTGACTCTGTTGAGGGCTCAAGTCCATCGGATGTGAAGGGTCCATGAGCCCCTCAGCATGTTGGCAGATGGTGCATGATTGTGAATGTAAGCGCRGCGCGGGGCACAGGGGTTTTCGACAGGGAATGCTCCTCAGGGCTTTGTTCTTGTGTCCCAGTCAGTCAGGGTGTTGGGTAAGACCTTCCCTGCAGAGCCCCGGTGGGGACTGGCCGCATGCATTGGAAACAGGAGGAAGACTCCCTCACTCAGCCGCTCTCCCAGCTCAGGAGCCTGCTTCCAATTACACCCACAGGCGGAAACTCTGGGAGCAGACAAGAAGCAACACCTAAGCCCCTGGGACAGGCCTGGAACATCTGACCCAGCCTGGGACATCACAGCCTGGCTGCTCCAGCCCCTCCTGCTCCCCTGGTCTGGCTCCCGCAGCCCTTGGCCTTCACTCTGTCTCCAGGATCCTGGACAGAGGGATGAACAGACACTCTCTAATGCATGCAGGAAGTAAGGAGCAGTACCCCTTCTGCAGATGTGAAAGCTGAGGTAGAGAGGGGAATTCTCAGCCCAATCCAAGCAGGTTCCCTGGGGTCTTTGGTGCCATTACTGGGTGTCCTGTGGTTACCTGTCCTTCCATCCCAATCTTCAAGCTGGGCAGCCCTTCAGAAATGCTGGGGAAGCTGTGAGCTCCCTTTCCTACTCCCAGGCTAGACAAAGCACTTCCTTAGATGGAAACTCCGAATTCTATTTAGGACAGACATTGCTATAAATGTGAAATTAAAACACAGTGAGCAAGAAGCTGGCAGAGGAGATACCGACAGAGTTCCGTGGTGATTCCTGGGGGTGAGTTGTCCCAGCATCCCTAAAGGTTCTGGACAGGAGGGGAGACTGGACCTCCTGATCAGGAATTCTGCCTGAAGAGAGGTCCATTTAACCCTTTAGAGTGCTAATCCACTTCAAGGTCCAAGCTGGCCCTCCAGGGGCTCCCCACCAACCGGGGGAAAATAGGACAGGCTCAGAGAGGAAGGAGGGGCTGTGATGGGGGAGGCTGGCGGTGATAATGAAAACAGCTCTCTCAGAGCCTGCAGGAGTCTGGCCAGGCTAAGGAATGCAGAGTACATTCACCCATCACTTGATTTTTATTTTCCCCAGCTGGTTGAAGTGGCACATGGGTGGGAAGTGTCTGGGGGAGGGCTGTGCTGGGTCCCCCAGCTGCTTCATCCTCCCAAACTCTTGGATGTGCCTCCCCACCCCACCAGCCCTGGCTTGCCCTAGGACAACTAAATACACACACCCCCCAACCTAGCAAGTGTTTGGCTGACTCACTACATAAACAGGGTGTTGGGTTTTCTTTGTCTTTGCTTTGTTTTGGATGTGAGCCCTCCCTACAAACTACAGCCCTCTGCATAGCTCAGAGAATGCCCTCCCAGTCAAAGATCAGAGAAGCAAGAGGTGACAAAGCACTGACCAGGTTATTTGGGATTTTCTGTTCTTGTTCTCTTACCTGAGCTCTCCTACCTGAGTCATAAAGGGCCTCAGATTGAAAAGAAGTGAGGGGGGGGCGTTGTTTTTCAGATGGGGGAAATGAAACCCAGAGATAGGCAGTGATTTGTCCAAGGTCACACAGCAAAAGAAAAGCTTCTGCCTTTTACCTGCCTATGGGCAGAGCAGATCCACTTCCACTAGGAAAGAGGCTGGAATGACATTAAGAGAAGTCACTCTTGCCTTCATGTCCTGTGAACAGGGCYCTATGGATCTCTTTTCCTTCAGGCTCATCTTCATCAGGTCATTTTCAAAACACCCTTAAGGGAGCCCTGCTCTGACTGACTCTAAGTGCTTTCTCCCTGTACATTCTGGATCTCCCACCCCCTTTTGGGATCCCTATGATAAGATTCCATAATTACAGAATCATTTATTGAGCATCTACTAGGTTCCAGGTGTGCTGCTAAGCATTTTACAGGCATAATCTCATGGAATCTAGAGATCATCAACAGCAGGGAGTGGGTACTATTCTTGTTCCCATGTTTACAGGTGAAGAAATGGGGACTCAGAGAGATAAAGGCACCAGCTGAGAGAAGGTATGGGATTTAAATTCAGGTGTGCCTGACACGGGAGCAGGGAATAGTTTAGGTCACTTCTGGAGATGCCTTATCCTCCAGAGAGTGCAACAAACAGCATCAGGGCCAGGACAGTGGAAAGCCCAGATGTGTTCACTGGGAGGGATTCTGGGTCCCTACACCCCCCCCCCCACCAGAGAGCCTTGACTTAGCGCCTACCACAAACTTGAGGGTTGCTGGGTAACCGTTGCCCTGGGGTCTGCCCCCCACGTGGTCAGCCTCCCGTGGAAACCCCAGAGCTCCTGGGAATCCCCTCCTTGGTTGTGGATTTCAGTGCTGACTTCCTCCACACATCCAATTGGGTATCAGCACCCCCTCCTTAGGCTCCGGGTCCCAAGCACCCCATCCTCTCCAGCGCTTCTTCCCGCACATGCTCCTCTCCCAAGGTCCTCGCTCCCATAGCTTCCTTGCTAAATCCCAGGTCCGAGCTCCCCTTTTCTGGGTCCTCAACTCCCTGCGGGTTGCACCCTCCTTGGCCGGCACCCCCAGCACCGCGCTTCTCGCACSGGACCTCTCCCAGCTGCGGCAGGTCGGAGGGGCGCGCATACCTTACTGTTGGCAAGCACCGGGCCAGCCCGCAGCAGAAGCAGCAACAGCGGCAGCAGGAGCAGGGCCATYGGCCGGGGCGGGAGGGTGGCCGCGGCCATGGCACCCGGGCACGGCGGCCGGGAGCAGACGCTGGGAAGCTCAGAACGCACAGCAAGCTCCGCTGCGCAGCCGGCTCTGCCGCCCCGCGCGCCCCCTCTGCCCCAGCTCCCCGCCCCGAACCCCCTCGGCGCCGCTGGGGCGGAGCTAGGGCGGAGGGGGTTCCCGCCCCGTCCCGCCCCGCCCGCGCGGGGCCTCCCTGCCCTCCCGTGGCTTTCCAAAGGGCATCCCTGCCAGGACGCAAACAAGAGTCCGGTTCCGAGCCCGCAGGAGAGCGAGGCCAGAAAGAGCAGTGCGGACTCCCCATACGGGTCGAGGTCCTATTCTGTGAGATGAAGGACCTTGGAAGTGTCCCTTAACCAATTTGAGCGTCAGTTTCCCCGAGGTAAAATGAAGAAAATGGCCCTTCTGGAGGGGCTGTGAAGTTCCAAAGAACGATGTTCCCAGCAGATGAGCCCTTGCGCTCTCTCAAGCCATCCCCCTTCTGTCCCCGGGACCCTGCTGACTCTAGTCTTCTCAAGTCTCAGCCCCTTCCCTCTCCGACCCTCCCGTGGGCTCCCAAACTCCAGCCCCAACTACCTTTTAAACTCCCCCTCTTCTTCCTGTCCCCCCAGAACAGTCCGGGGGCAGCCCAAGTCTCAGCATCCCCGCTTATCTTCTCGCCCTGGGGGTCTTCAGTCTCAATTCTTCACCAAGATGCCTTGCTGCGTCCCTGTAACCAGATCCTCTCCATCCTTCCTAAACCAACACCCAAGTCACACCTTCCTGAACCTCGCCCTGGTTTGTCTTTGGTTTTCCTTATTTCACTGGGGACTCCTTCCCAGTCTTTTGAAAGCCCTTCCGCCCCTGAACACCCCTTGGGGCTGAAGCCCCTCCCTCTTCCTTCTCTACCAAGTCAGTGTACTTGTCACTCTCCTGGGCTCAAGACAGATCGGCTGTGTGCTTAYCTGGCCTTGTAAACTTGTGTTGCACTAAAAGGAACATTTACTTGTGCCCTAGATGCTGCCACCGCCCCAGCTCCCGGCTTCCCACCGTCTTCATTTTCTCTTCACTCCATGGAACTGCCTTTCTGGTTTGACACAAGTTTCCCTTGTAGGAAATAGGTCAACAATGTGCACACTTTCATTCTTTCCAAGAGTAGCTGACTCAGCCGTTCTCAAAGTGAGGTTCCCTGGCCAACAGTCTCAAGTGTCACTTGGGAACTTGTCAGAAATGAAGATTCTCAGGTCTAAGCCCAGMTACTGAATCAGAAAAAGGTTCAGCAGCCCAGCAATCTTCAAAAGTTCTTCAGGGCTTGAGGACCAATGACCTAGCACAAATAGGTGCTCAGTGACTCTCAGCTGACTTAAGGAATCACATGTAGGCTATGTAGAGTTATATGCCTCTAAACTGGGCAACTCAGGAGGCTGAGGCAGAAGGACTGCAATTCAAGACCAGCCTCAGCAATTTAGTGAAACCCTGTCTCAAGAAAAACAAATAAAACCCAGACACTAGTATTGCTGTATATATAAACGTGGCTGTATAACCAATGTGAACCTGCAATCTGTACACGTGGAAAAATAAGAATTCATACCCCATTTGAATCAAATGTATGATATGTCAAGATCATTGTATTGCCTTGAGCAACTAATAAAAAATAGCTGGGGGGCTGGGGATGTGGCTCAAGTGGTAGCACGTTTGCCTGGCATGCACAGGGCGCTGGGTTCGATCCTCAGCACCATATACAAATAAAATAAAGATGTTGTGTTTACCGAAAACTAAAAGTAAACAAACAAACAAATAAATAAATAAAACAAACCCTAAACCCTAATAAGTGGTAAAACCATAAAAAAAAAAAAAAAAACCCAAAACGATCTGGGGATGTAGCTCAGTGGAAAAGTGCCCCTGGGTTCAGCACAGAAAAAGAAAAAATCACATACAGGAGGCATTCAGTACAATTTTCAGTACAATTAAGGATCTTTTATAACTAGAGATCTCCTTCATAGGGAGGTGTCAAAATCAGGCTTAATATGAAAAATAAATATTGTGTTTTTATGTACTCAGATGATCTCTGAAAGGGCACACAATATATTCATATGGTGGTTATCTCCAAGGAATGGGGATCTGGTTGGCAAGAACTGGAGTCAGAAGAATTTCTGTTGAAGACTTTTTGTGTGTGTGTGTGTGCATTCTGTGGATTTTGCAACTTGCTCCCTATTAAAAAACAAAAAAACCAAAAAGACAAAGCGTACTTAAATGTAGCCAGGCAAAGGTTCTCTTTCTCCCAGATGCAGCCTGGTTGCCTGGATTTCTAGGAGAGTAGTAGGTTGGCAAGTCTGCTGTCACTAGGAGTTCTGCCCCCTACTGGCCATTGCCCGACACAACCTGATGGTAACATGGGGTGTCCTTCTCCTTGTTCCAATACCATGGAATCTTCCACTTCCTTAAATGTGCCAAGCTCTGACTTACCTTTGGGAACTTTTGCTTGTGCTGTTTCGTTTCTTCAACTGGATATCTTTCTCTCCACTCAGTCTGATACACTCCTACTCATTCTCTTCACCTTATTTGAATGCTCCTTATCCCAGAAAGCCACCACCAACTATAGTGAGCCCTGTCGTACATTCCCCCAGGACCTGGAACTTCTGAGTTCTCAATTGTAAGACTTTCATGCCATTGTGGGTTTGTGTGATTTCCTGATTTGATTAGAGTATGTCTGCCTCCTCCATCATAGGATAAGTTCCCCCTAAAGACGCTGATGCCTGCCTTGTTCTTTGCTGTATCCTTTTCTGGTCCTGTTTGTTTGTCTGCTTCTGGCCTCAGGACCATTTCCCATCAGATCTATCCTTATTCTTTCTTTCCTTACCAGCTCTTCTGTCTTGAGTACTACAGGTGCTGGGGGGAAATCTTTTTCATCTTTCTGAGTCTACGTACACATTCCCCTTGCTTTTCTCAGTGCTGTGGTATTTTGACTCTTCCTAGAAGCATTTTCAGCAGAGAGTATCTGGGACTTGGGATCACTTTCTAAATAACATTAGTAACAGGTTCCATTTATTAAGACAGACTTTACATTGCTTTGTATATTTATTTTGATTCCTTTCATCCAGCCAGCAATTGGGGTTACAATGATGAGATAATAAAGAGCTTTGAGTAGTCAGGAGGATCTGGGAAGGCTTTTGGGAGGTTCAGAAGCCTGTGATAGATGGGAAAATTCTGATATATTTTAGAAGGCAGAGCTGAGGGAATAGCGCAGAGGATCCATCTCTTCTGTTTCTTCTTTCCCCCAATGCTAAAGAATCTCCTCTCCTTGTAGGAGAGGCCAGCATTGCTCCCTGCCCATGGGGGAGCTCAGAAATGGTGGTGAGGAAGCCATCACTGAGACCATTTCTTATAGTCTGCACAGAATTAACAGACCCTTGCGGTAATGTAGAGGAGAACTAGTTGTTTCTTGATTGGAAGTATTAAGGAAGGTGCCACTGAAGAAGTATTTTTACAACCTATAAAGATGAAAAAGCATTGGGAGTGGGATGGGTGAATCAGCATTCCAGCTTTCTGACCATCTGGGGTTGGAATCTCACCTCTAGGGGATTTCATCAGTGTATGATAAGGGCAATAACGAGGCTACCTCCTTGAGAGACCCTGAGGTTTAGGCAACAAAATGTTAATGTAAATCTCTCAGAACAGTAGTCAACACAGATAAAGGATAAAGAATGAAGCACAATGTTGGTAACCCCCTAAGTACTAGGAAAGAGTTGYAAAACTTGCGTAGCAGGTGATGGAAGGGGTGCGGTAAGAAATGTAGACGGGGTCAGAACAGGAAGGAATGCAAACGCCAGGACAAGGATTTAAACGTAAGGAATCACACACAGGAGCTAAAGAACTGGCGGGGCGATGGAGTGGAGAAAGGGGAGGAAAGCTGAGGGGAGGGCGGGAAATGAGCCACCAGTGAGGAAGCTGCGGCACAATCCAGCAGAGAGGCGGGGGAAACAMCAGTATTCTCATTCTTTGTCCTCAAGCAGGCCAGGTAGGGCTCAGACCCTGGTCAGTAGCTGCAAAGAGTACTTTCCTGAGGGGGTCGCTGAAGACAGCCTGGCAGGCCCAGAGGCCGGTGGCCGCGCGCCACCTGGTGGCCCTTGGAGGTGTGCTCCGGTGGGAGCAGCGGAGAAAATCCAGGATTATGCTCCCAGGAAAATTCAGAAGCTTGGGCCGGGTGTGTGTGTGGGTATTTTTCATCTGGACCCCATGCCTAGTCCAACCTCATTTCACAGGGAATCTGAGCAGAGGGAAAGGAGCTTGTTCTCCGGGCAAGGGGCCACTCAAATGGAGGGCTGCAAGACATCTAGAGTTAAAAGCCTAACGTTTTCTTTAATGGTAATCAATGTCCCCGAGCTTAGTTTGTCCATCTGTTCTACGGGCAGGGGGAAAATGAAAGAGGAGGAGGAGAAACGTTACTCTTTCCCGCCCACCAGGAGGTAAAAGGCTTTAAACACTACCCCGGAAAGCAGAGTTGTATAGATTCATTTGCATACGAACGCAGTCACCCCGAGTTAAGCTCCGGCCCTTTAATCTTCTGTCCAATTTGTCCTGCAACGGAGGAGGAAGACCTTAGTGAATACCTCCAAGCCCCGCCTCCTCGGGGCCCCGCCTACAGGGCTGGGCTTCGTTGCACGTGCTCACCCGGCTTCTTTTCCATCCACCTCCTTGGGAAGACTCATTGATGGGGTAGGGGGATAAGTGGAGTCGTCGAGCGCTTCGATCACGGATATGTCATAATAAAGGGAAGACCGTGAAACAACCGTTTACTCAATATTTATCAGAAGTTTTATCAGGTTCCCTGTTATCGACAAGCCTTGGATTCCTGTTTTCACGGTTGCTTACTCTTCTTCGTACCCATTCGTTTGGTGAGGTCCTGCATGGCYGGCCTCTCCAGAAGGACTTCACTTCCCAGCGTGCCCCGCGGGGCCGTGCGTGGCAGCGGCGCGTGACGTCAGGGGAGGGAGCTGGCCAGTGCTGAGGGGGCGCGGCGCGGAGGGGCGCGGAGGGGCGCGGAGCCGGGTGGCTGGGGGCCCAGAGAGCGCCGCGGCCGGTAGCCAGCCGGCTCC